ATTCCATAAATAATCACAAATTGCAGCTTCGATGTCATCAATTCCGCTTGGAATATCCGCTTTTTCAACCTACAATTTTGCATACAAAATTTTGTCACAACAACATAATAAAAATCAAATTAAGTATTCTTTTATTAAACTTACCTTCTGCTTCTTCTTCTGGGGTGCAGGACATTCCGAATCCAAAATTGCTGCTATAACACTCTCCGGTGTATAAATGACATCGACTTCCTTCCTCCTCATTTCTTCCATCTCTTCTTCTTCCTCCTTCCTCTTTCTTCTTCATATTTTTTCAGTTCATCGTACTTTTTTTCTACATAGCTCTTCATCTCTTTTATTTCACCCTTCAATTGAGCTCCTTCATCCGAGTATTTATCAACCACCCCCTTCACCCCCGTAAGTTCACTCCTCAATCCACAACCTCCTTCACCACTCCCTCAAATTTTTCTCCCGTCACCATCTTAATATCACCCCTTAACACCCCAACTTTTTTCACCACTTCACCCCTCAACACCTCTACTTCTTTCACCACTCCATCTATTTTTCCTTCCACTACCCCCTTATGCCTCTCAAGTGTATCTTCGACTCTCTCGAGTTTCTCTACGACTCGATCAAGTTTCTCTTCGACTCTTGATTGTCTTTGTATGATTTCAAATTGGATTTTTTTGATATCAGCCAATTCAGACATCAAAATGTCGAAGTTACTATGTTTTCCCTCACCGTCGTCCCACTCACCGTCATCCCCCAATACAACCATCCCTCCTTTCTTCTCCTCTGCCTCCACTGCCTCCTCTACATCCTTGCCAATAACCTTCAAAATTAAATTACAATATTAAGACATTGATTATATTCTTAATATTATTAATTACATTTATTACCATTTCTTGCTTCTTCCCTCTATCCAACTTCAACTTCACCATCACTCTAACCACCTCTTCCTTCCCCCATGCACGGATGCGTGCCACTCCGGTTCTTTCATAAGCCGGCACTGCCTCACAGCCCGACCAAAAATCGAACAGTGCAACCTGCATTTATAATAAAATTTATATTTTTATATAAAAACACAAAAAAGTGATTCAACTCATTTACCTCTAAGATTGCTATGCACCCTTTGAGGTATCTCTGGCTGCCCTTTTTAAAGGTGATTATTGATTCAATCAATCTCGAATGGATATATTCAACCCAATTGAATTCACCCTTCAAGCCTTCATCGCAAATGAGCTTCATATATTCCTTGTTCGTTGACGTATCACCCGTTGGACAAAGAAATATCCCGACAAGGTACAATAGAACTCGGACCTTCAGCTCATCCCCCAGTAAGATCCACTTTTGATATCCTCTTCAACTTCAGCATATGTCACCTTATGATTCAAACCATATTTGAAGGCAAGTGCTTTCCAGTTCTTACTCCTACAGACTTCTATAACACTTTTGCCTTTGTTTTGTACCCCCAAGACGGCTGCAGCAGTCGATACCCCCAGAGGGAATGAATACTCACCATACTTAGCCATACATTGACTGACGTCAAATTGTGCCATCAAGGATCGACACAATTCCCTCCGAATAGGTCGATCCCTTACTCCGATCAACGATCCAAAACCTATTTCTCCCAGCACATTCAACTGACCCTTCTCCTTAAGGTGTTTAATTAATAAATTCACCCTTTTAATGCTGCATCTTGTCGACACTTCCTATATTTTTTAACAATATATAATGTTATAGTTCTTATATTTTGTATCAACGTATTTACAAGTTTAATGAATACCTTATTTTCATGTGCTTTCCTCCGTTCTTTGTATTCTTTACTATCATTCCTTGACTGTGTGATGTAAGGTTCATTTTCAGCATCACTCATTGAATTCCATTTGGACCTCACATCTTTTTTCACCTAATATTAAACATAAACGTTTCTTAATCAATACATTAACACTAAATACTAATACTACTCAATGTCAATTTCATTTTACATACCGAACCGCTCTGTGTGCCATCTCCCTTCATCCTTTTGCATTCGGCCATACTGTTAACATTTAAAATTTGTAATCAATTTAAAGTTTATCGATACTTTAATCAAATTACCATTTCAACAATAATAACAAAAAGACATTGATACTTACTAGAAGTACATATATCCACCATTTGGTTGCTTTCGAGTCTCGGCCTCAATTTCAAAGTCATCTGCTCCACCAACAATTTTCCAACCCATTGACTCCATTTTTCCTTCATATATCAGTTTACGCAAATCAAATTATTTTGTTACATACACTTTATTCAATATACAATATAGATAACTACTCTTGTGGTAAAACGGTTTCTTCAAAAGAATTTGAATGGCCACACCAAAATGTGTCGGCACATTTATACAACCTATAATATCATTTTCTACCTATAATATTTAATAAAAGTATCGACATTTATATTTTTCCTTGAATATCTATTTCTACCTGCAATCGGTCCCAAATGCTTCCTTACTCCAAAACCCCAAACAACACATAAAAAACCCTATCGCGATTACTGTAATAATAAAAAATTAGGGTTTCGACAACATACTTTTCGATTCGACTGCAGCAACAAACAAACAAACTTCGCTTTAGAAACGCCTTCTGAAATGCAGCAACAATTACGCTTCGATTTCAAAAACTCGTCCGTTCTATCTTTTTTCAGAGGATATTTAGCTATGGCCTTTATATTTTCATCGGATATGTTATTTATATTTAATCGATACAAATACAAAAGTGTCGATACTTTTATGTCAGGTGTCGATACTTTCGAAAGGATAATTACCTATTTCTTTGAAAGTGTCGATAATTTATTACACGTACTTACGAAAGTATCGACACTTTCAATATATCCGGTATCATTTTACCGGTTTTATCATTTTGATACCGGTTTTATCATATTTTTACTTGTTATATCGTTGTGGATCGATATTTTTTTTTTAAAGTATCGACACATTATAGGCGCTATAACTGCTTCTCTTTTAAATTCACAAAGTGTCGATCCTTATATAAAGTATCGACACTTTTAATATATCCGGTAACGTTTTACCGGTTTTATCATTTTGTTACCGGTTTTATCATATTTTTACCTGGTATATCGTTTTGGATCGATACATTTTTTAAAAGTATCGACACTTTATAAGATTTAAAACTGCTTCTCTTTTAAATTCACGAAGTGTCAATCCTTATATTAAAGTACCGACACTTTAAATGTATCCGGTAGCGCTTGACTGGTTTTATCATTTCTATACCGGTTTTGTCATAGTTTTACCTGTTATATCGTTTTGGATCGACACATTTTTAATTTGGATCGACACGAACCGGTAGCACAATTTTTTAATATTTCTTCATGACTTAGACCTACTTTTATAAGTATGGACATTTTTATAAAAATGATATATACTTTTTTTTAAAGTTATGTAATTTATGTTTCAATTTTTTTAACAGTGTTTCATGTTTTCCACCTACAATATTAATTTAATAATTTAATTTACACAAAATATTATTTGATTGTTTTGATATTTTATAAAATATTATTTAGAATTTAAATTTAACAATATTAACCAAATATAATAATAAATATGTTTTCAACAGTGAAATAAGTATGTACACTTTTATAAAAATGATATATACTTTTTTGAAAGTTATGTAATTTATGTTTCAATTTTTTTAATAGTGTTTCATGTTTTCCACCTACAATATTAATTTAATAATTTCATTTACACAAAAAATTATTTGATTGTTTTGATATTTTATAAAATATTATTTAGATTTTAAATTTAACAATATTAACTAAAGATAATAATAAATATATTTTCACAGTGAAATAAGTATGGACATTTTTATAAAAAGGATATGTAATTTACAATATAACAGGTAAAAATATGACAAAACCAGATTCATTATGACAAAACCGGTAAAATTTACTTGATATGTTAAAAGTATGGACACTTTTATAAAAAGGATAGATACTTACCGATAACCAAAGTTTACCGGTTACCAAATTTTTTAATAGTTTTTCATATTTTCTACCTAAAACATTATTAGTTGTTAACATAATAGGTACCGTTAAACCAAATTTATTAAATACATTTTAATGTATCCGGTAATACTGTATATTAACCGTATATTAACCCGCCTTTCCTGAGACATTCCCATCTCAAAAGGCATTTCAGATCCAAATCTCAGAGTGCGGGAAATAATAAATAAAAAAGTCAATTTCTAATTTGATTTGACTTTTTAATTATGTGTGTTTCATGGGGACATAATCCGACCATAAATCAGAGATGTAACCATAATCTAACATTCCAATCAGCATGTTTTTATTTATTTGATGGATTCTAATTTGATTTACATCTGTTCCTTTCACAATAACACTCATTTGGGCGAAAGTCTAAAAAAAAGCAAGTTAATTCAAGAAAAAACGAAGGAAATAAGTATAATATAAAAAAGTGCAATCGAAAATGTTATAAAAAACATAATATTTTAGGTTGGACGCAATCTAAAATATTATATTCTTTGTAATATTTACGGTTGAACGTAAAATATTACGAGTGTAACATTTGTAGATTAAGTTATGTCAAAAAATTTCGTAGATCAGCACTAGGAGTGACGGCCATAACATTCGTGGGATGCAACTATAAACTTTGGCAACCAGTCACTGCCAATAGGGGTGTGCAATCGAGTTGAGTCGAGTCAAAAAAAATTCGAGTTGACGAGTCCTATTTTATAACTCGACCTGAATTTGAATTTTTTCGAGTCGAGTCAAGTTTATAAAATTACAACTTGAAGTCAATTCAAGTCAAGTTTTTTCGAGTTGAGTAAAAAAAATTGATTTTTCGAGTCGAGTTTTGAGAACCCTGTCGGCCGAGATTAAGCATCTTGCTACCCGAACGACAAATATTTTGCTTCAAATTTAAGGTAGGTAGGTGGAAAAGCATTATATACCAATTCACCCAAGAAAAACAAGCAACAAAGGAATGACCAACACATATGCAGGCCTCATCGAAGAAGATACATTGTCATTGATACAATAATTGTTTTGTGTATTTGGAAAACAAACCCTCTTTAGCTTATATATTGAAGCACATGAAGCAGACAAAAAGTTTGTGCTACTCCCAAAACACGATTCCTCGATCCTTTACATTTATCAAAGTAAAACACGGTCAGGGCCTCATATTCCCATAATGGTTCTTATCTGATCTGGAGGATGCCTTGCCAGTGATTTGGGATCTGGGTATTTGTTTTTGGGGTCCATGATTGAATTGTAAATAAGCTCGTAAGTATCAGCCAATGACCTAGCTACCTGTATACATGCATCAGCACGCAACTTTGGAACTTGCATCTGTTCAAACTCAGGCAAGGAACTCTCACTTCCCAAAATAAATCCAAAGAAAGCCTTCAAACACTCTGAAAGAGAAGCTGGCGTTGTGTCTTCTGACTCCGCTAATGGCATCCCGAATGTTGTATCCTTTGAATTAGGGAAGTGATGCATCTTCATTGACAACCCACATCTTCTAAGAATTGCGTCGACTTCTTTTTCCACAAGAACATTTACATGATTATCAATCATGGTGCTAAGTTTCTTTGCATATTCAGCTGCAACCTCGTGTCCAAGTAATGGCTGCTGAATAGCACACAAGCAGTTGATAAGGAAGATCTTGGAAGGAGCTTCACTATTCTGCGTAAATCCATGATATAATGAGTGAAAAAGGAACCTCAAGCAGAGAACCATGCATGTAAAGTATATGAAATCAAATAAACACACGACCAAACTTATTAACCTGAGAGAATGTAGCGGAGTTGTTATTTGACAAAATTGCATCAAATGCGGATTTACTAGGCTGAGAGTCAGAACTCATTCGACTTCTTCTTGAGTGGCCAGATCCCTTTGATTTGTGTGCCTCTGCTGCTTGCTCACACATCTGCATTCCATCAAAGGTAGTAAGTTAATCTACTGTACAGAAACCACAAAGGAAAATCTGCACAGCACTAAAGTTGACTCCCAAATTCCAATGCAGCGGCAAACAATGATCTGAACATGTGTTAACTATCCGAAAATAGGAATACTTAACATCATAATGATCGCCAACAAATACTAAACTCATTTGGGGAAAAAAGGAACATGTGAAAATTATACTTCAACACCATGCATTGAGGAAAAGATTTATCACAACAAAGCAATTGATAAAAGAATATTAAACATGACACACCTGAATAATAGGATCAAGTAAAGCAGATATAACTGGATCAAAAGCAGGCTTTTTCCCTGAAGCAGGAACCATCATGCTGTTATATGTGTCAATTATCTCAAGGAGCACAGAAACTCCCTCCCTTACAGCCGGTGCTGGTGAAAGATCTACACCAACAAGGGGAGGATATCGTAAAAGTTTTTCCCCATGACTTCTCAGAATTTCAAAGAAAGTTTTCTGAGCAGCATCTTTCAGTGCCCAAAGAGTATTACAAAGAGATGTTTCTCTCCCTAGTAGATCTGATATCTGTAAGCAAACAGATATTGTTATCAACAGATGACAAGCAAACCATATACAACCAGAATAACAAAAGAGAAAGAGGTCACTCACGGTGTAGCTGTAGAACTCTAGCGTGTTACTAAGTTTATAAGAGATTATAAGACTAGGTTGTGACTGTAGAACTTGCTCAACTCTCACTTTAAAAGGTCGGCAAACTCCTTCAAAAATTCTATCAAGAACAAATGTCAAGTCTGCTTCAATCTTTCCAAAATCATTCTCCACGTTCTTGGATACAAATGGGTTTGCAGCTGATCCAGTCTCTATCAATGCATCGGGATCTAGTAAAGCAAGCACAAGCTCACGTTCTGATGCCAAGGCCTACAAGGAGTGAAGGAAAGCTAAATTAACACAAAATACAAAATTAAATGTTTCTTAATACAAATATAACTATTTGAAGAAGAGAAACAGAAACCTTATAGAAGTCTATTTTTTTTAACAAACCTGATGTAACCATCCTAGCATGTCTCCAACATAACGTAAAGGATCATGAGCATGCACTTCTATTGGTCTTGGCATTCCACCCGGTCCTCCCCGTGTAAGAGCACTTATAAACCTTCTAAATAATGCATTATGCCTCATATTTGCTACCTGTGATTACAGCAGAAAATTTTAATAACATGCAACAGAAAACCAGAAGGCAGTGAAGTTGTGAACTTAAAATTTTGGCTCAATGAAATAACCTCTTCAGCACAATACTTGAAAAGGACAGGCCTTTCCTTAAGACAGTGCACAGCTGTTTTCAAAAGGTCACCAATTTCTGGATTATCCGTGTCACCTAGTTTCCTACATTCTGCCTGAACCCACCTACAAGAAAGGGACAAGACATGTCAACCAACTAATCCAACACTTGGGAAAATACCCTGTATCTCCAATTTTTTGTCAAGCAGGTCAAGCAGAGAATACCACATACAGCCTAACCAATAGCCACCATAAGCCAATTAATCTGATGCATGTAGCAAGGATATTGCACACTTTAATAACAAACGTGTTAAATAAAAGACAGGAAGGTGGAGAATAGTAATTAACAACATGTCAAATATGAGATTTTACTTTTAGCATGTTCCTTCACTACAAACTCTTAACAGATATCATAGTGCATTACTAAATTCCATCTTAGAATACAATTTATAGCATTCTAATATGCTCAACGTCAAATATGAGATTTTACTTTTAGCATGTTCCTACACTCCAAACTCTTAACAGATACCATGGTGCACTACTTAATTCCATCTTAGAATAAAAGTTCCATCATTCAATATATGCTTGACCTGCATAGTCGCTCATAAGCTCCTTCTTGGTACATAGCCATCATATCCATCAGCTCCAAACCAGCACGCTGTAAAGGATTCTCATGTTAGTGATTGTATTAAGACAGGTATTAACAATGGAAATTGAAGCATAAGGAACAGATCAACATATGCAATGACAAAGAAATCTAACAGCAGAAGCAATTGACAGGCAACTAAGAAAGAGAACGAGAGAAAACTTATAACATGTCTTAAATGTAAAGATATAAATGGCTGATTTGGCAATTTATTGACATACAGTTAAAGAGTTCATATGCAGGCTAGGAAATATATTATTAACCTGATGATGCGTCCTGAGAAGAATTTTGCAATTGGCATGAATTTCTTGAACGTGAGAAAGTGCCTTGAAGAAATTTTCATTAAACTCTTCATCTCTCAATGCAGTAATCTAAAAATGTAGGAAACGAACATAATGGATTCAGAAAAAGGGGCGGCAAAAAGAATTGAAGCTAAAAAGGGCAAAAAGGAAGAAAAAAAGGTTTACGATTGAATGTAAACCTCCTGAGGAGAAAGCTGATAATCTCGAAGGAAGTAGGAGACAATCTGCTGCTTTTGAGTGGTAACTTCGAGTTCCTGCTTCAATCTCTCGGTGGTATTCATAATATCACCGGTGCTAGCACTGCAACTGCTCAATGCCTTTCCAATCCTATCAGATTCGATTGGATCTTTTTTAATTACATAAAATAAGTCTAAAATATGACAAACAATTTACGTAGACATAGGAGAATGGAAATCGTATATGAAAAAAATAAGAGAAACGATGAGCATATATACTTATCGCAGCAGTCGGCGAGGGAATTGACCTCGTCCTCGACTCGATCCAAAGCGAGTTGAGCAGCCTGGGAAGCACGGAGAAAATCGAGGTTGATTTCAAGAGAGCGCTTCTCGATGGTGGATCTGAGGTTGCGACGCGCCTGAGGAGTGTTATCGGAGTACAAAGTGGAGAGAGTGTTGAGAGAAGCCAAAACTTCGGGAGTGTCCGCCCGACATTCTAATACCTTCTTCAGTTTACGCGACAGCCCAGGAGCAAGCCCCCCTGTCACCATTTTCTTTTCTTCTTCTCGTCTCTTCTACTCTATTATTTTTTTCCCGATCGCTTGTCAAAATTTCCAATTACTTTGAGCAGTCGGAGGATAGAGGCAGAGGTAGATTCATAGATCCATTTCCATTTTCCAGCATAAAAATTCTGTTGAGATTTCTGGTTTTACATATTTTTATTTGCGTAAACTATGCTTTCAACCACTCAACTTTGACATATTCCTGTTTTCGTCACTCAACTTTAAAAATTGTAAATTTAATCACTCAATTTTCGAATTATTCTGTTTTTGATAAATCACAAGTAGTGTGATGATATGATAATTTACACCAAAACAACATTCTTATATCTTTATAGAGGTAATTTTATCTCTAGAAACACAACTTCCCCGCCAACCTACTAAGATCATCTCTAGAGGGACTTATTGGTGGCCAAAAAGTCCTCGTCAGTCTTTGATAAACTCTAGAGATTGATTAGGACCAATTTACTAGTTGAAGGCTGCATTAATGCATTATATTGACTTATACATAACAATCATGATTTTGGACCTGGCACTAGCATGCAAAGAGGGCAAATATATAAAGCCCAATAACAGGCAGAAGAGGTGACTACTTCTTCTACTTAAGAGTATTCTTCCTGCAACTCTCTCCACATCTTTCATCATTAACATCACTAGCCAATGACCAATCTTTCATCGGTTGTGGCTCTTCATCCAAACCAGAAGAGATAAACTGTCTACAATCAACATAAACCCCATTGTTCCCATAAATAATTTACATCAAAATAGTATCAGTATATTTCTACAAAAATTATTTCTTTTTTCTTCTTTCTTTTTTTTCTTCATCGCATTTTCGCCTCCTTTATTACAACCAATCCAAATTTTGAACATCGCTCGTCTTTATTAACAACCATGTCATGTCATTTTGCCATTTTCGATGGCCAGTCCTAAATTTTACCTCTAAACTCGTTTCTTCCTCCTAAATATGAATCTAGTGTTCGTTTAATCGAAAAATATACCAAACTCCGTGATACTACTGTTGAACGCTTCAATATCTTATTCTTTGATCTTCATTGTACATTGTTGGATGGAGCCCGAATAAAGATATGTTTCTCTTCTCTAAAAACCTTTCTACCATTTATATCTTTAAATAGATGCTTCGATTATTAGAGACCCACTAAAGTCAAAGGTGAAATTTTTCTTCTTTTTTTTCTGATTATTCTTATTTTTGTGTTGTTGTGGATGGTTGTTATTTTTTTATTTGATAAGTGAAGTGATCAAAATATTTAAGGATGGTGACCGAGAATGATGTTTAAGAATAACTGTTAGAGGTTTAATAGTGAAGAAATAGAAGCAGGTGCAGGCTCGTTGGTGGTTCTTGGGTAGTTGAGGATAGTACGAGAGATAAAAGTAATAGTGGTTCTCATAAAGGGGTAGGTAATAGTTTAGGTGTGGTTAGATTAAAAGTTGATTTTAGATGGCATACGATGAAATGAGGAACATGGATGACATGCGATGAAGGAGTGCCTATTAGAGAGCTATGTTATACTTTTACCCGGTCTAGACGTATAATCAAGTAATAGATTCCACATCATACATAGAAGCAGTATACAAATAAATACAACTTACTATTAATCAAATCATGAACAAAAAAATTATAATGTCATTCGAGTTTCTAAAATCATTTTGTGACAATCTTGAAAGAATAAAACCGATTAGATTTAAAGATAATTAAAGAAAATTTATGAATTTTAGAGATTATATTACGAATTTAAAAAGTTATGGGATCATTAAAAAGATCACTTTTATTGTATACATATTATTTCAATCACAAGATATTTTAACAAATAAGAATTAAAAAAAGACGATAATTGATGCTAACGTCGTATGTAAAAATTATGCAGAAAATACTAATTTCATGAGGGGTTTCGAAACCTCTGGAACTTTAATCATTATACCCAAATAATTTTGAAACCACTACTTAGATGTTTCTAAACATTTACTCTATTTTACTAAAAATGTCATTTTTCAAATCCAAATAACCTTATTTTGTCCCACGATTATTAAACCATATCAAAACATGAATTTGAGCATCAGAATATACCCAACATACATTACATGACTCATAAACTTCATCTATATGACCCATAGACATTTGAAATCCACTTAAAGTATTTAAAGACTCTTTTAGATCTCAATCAAACAAATTTCAACCCTTATAAACCTCTTTACTATCCTATGTACACTAGGAGAAGGAACATACAAATCTTATCACTATGACCATCGAGTAAATGATTTCCTAGATGTGGCTACATTCAACGAATCATATCAAAATATGAATCAAGTCAAATAAGTGAAATGAATATCATGACACTTAGGTTACCCATGGGTGCTCTAAACTAAGGGTTTCGTCACCCATAAAGTAAACCATGCCCATAAGAATTCTACGTAATCAATGTATCATCAAAATAATATATGCAAAATTTGCACCTAAATGGATTGTTTCTTGGGCCTACTTATAATTTGGACCTACAAACACCAATGCTCATATAATTAAAAATAATAATATATATAATATATAATAAATAGTAATAATTATTAATACTACTACTGATAATAAATAATATATAATGCTAAATATTAATCTATAATATAAATAATGCGTACTATAAAATAATAATAATATAATAATGATAATAGTAATAAAATAATAATACTAACAAATAATGACAAGTACTAATAATTATAAAATGAAATGAAAATAAAAATAAAATAAAATAAAAAATTAAATTAAATTAAATCTCGGAGGAACATGAGTTTCTACACTATTAATATTATTTTTATCTACCGATAACATTTTCTGTTACTATAAAAATTATCCTAAATCTCTAAATAAATTTTAAACAAAACTAGTTTCTTAATTTTTCTAACAACAATATTTCATAAATTTAACCTAAAAATAAAATAGAAATTTTTTATATGGGTGATGGTTTTAAATTTAATAGTAGTAGTAGTTCTAATAAAAGTTAATGAAGAGGTCGAAGGTAGATGCGAAGCCCATGGGGGTACCAACCGTGGTAGATATAAAGATGCAGTTGCACTACAGGGTGGCATTACATTACGTCTCTGTTTACTCATAATTGCTTTATCTCCGACTCCCCACCTCCTTCTTCACCATATCTAAATCCAACATCTTTAGCACAACCAGAAGAAAGTGCCCATCAGCTCTTTAGCTTTCATTTTTGTCCATCATCTGAAAACAAAACAAATGGTTAGGACCTTTTCTCTGTTATCACTGTTTTGTATTCTGATATCGATTGACTGCCTATGTTCGGCTCCCATTATTTTATTGCAGATTTACGCTTTGTTTGACTGAAGAATCGATTTCGATTTACTTTTTTATTTACACTTTTCCAACAATGTATTCGGATCCCATCCCCTCACCCCTTCTTATAGATATATTGTGGAATCTTGTTTTAATATTAGATGTGTCTAAATCGGGGAGTAGAAAACATTAATGTTAATTGAAACTAAGCACGTGAGCACTAAATGTAAGCCTTAGATCCCATTGCCATTGTTTCTTACATCAACAACCTTAAGCATCAATCCAACAACATGATTCAGGACATTTACAATCCTTAATTGTGTTTATGGTTGGTGTGATGGTAGGGTTCTTGTCCTTCTATTAGAAACATCCTCCTTCTGGATTCCGAGGGGAACCGTGTTGCTGTTAAATATTATTCAGATGACTGGCTGACTAACAGTGCTAAGGAAGCCTTTGAGAAAGCCTTGTTTTCAAAGACTCAAAAGACCAATGCTCGCACTGAAGGTAAACTTGAAGAGATATATATCATTCATTGACCTTCCATAATGTATAACCATTTCTACTTTATTGTGGTCTTGTTTCCCTGTTTACAGCGGAGATAGCAATGTTTGAGAATCATATCATTGTGTACAAGTTTGTTCAAGACCTTCACTTTTTTGTTACTGGGGCTGAGGGTGAAAATGAACTCATTTTGGTTACTGTTCTTCAAGGGTTTTTTGATGCAGTTGGCCTTCTTCTAAGGTTTTCATAATTTATTATTCTGTTTACCATGTCTTTATACATGCTTAAGGTCATATTGCGTACAACTTATTATACTCCTTTTGGTCTAGAGGGACTGTGGAAAAGAAAGAAGCACTGGAGAACTTGGATCTCATTTTGTTATGTCTTGATGAGATCGTCGACGGAGGGTATGCAACATGATTTATTTTAGTTAAAGTTTACTTTTGTATAGGTAACACTATTTATTTTTGGTTGCTAGTCAAGGTCCCGTTAATTTTGAAGCTTTAACTTTCTGTCAAAAGCTAGAATCCCATCAATTAGCATGGTTGGTGCCAGAGAACATTTAATAAACTAGTTTTAATTCAATGATTGTTAGCCTATCATTATTAGTAGAAATTGTTGTTACTGATCTAATACTTGGATAAAAGGGTATTATTTGTGTCTGCTAACGTGTCTATTCATTCATCTCATTTTTATCTAGAATGCCATCAATTAGCAAGGTTGGTAAATTGGCTTAGACTAAAAATATACAAGTAAAGGGAAGACATTATCATGCACATTTTACCCTTCTAATAATCATTAGTATTGTAATACACAAACACACATGTACTTGCCCTTCTAGCAATGTTGTGAGAAAACTTTACATACAGATGAATTTGTACAATACATCAGGTTTTTAGACCTTTTGGCTAAAAATTAGTATGTAAACAAGAGTTTTATGAGTTATTGGCTGGAACTGAAATTGTCATTTTTAGAGGTTCTTAGCTCTTTCAATCCACTTGTGGTCATAAGAGTGATTTTATAACCTGGTTAATTATTTTCTTTGTTTTTTCCCTTTGCAGTATCATCCTAGAAACAGATGCTAGTGCCATTGCGGGAAAGGTTGCTAGTCATAGTGTATATGAGGCTGCTCCTTTATCTGAGCAGGTATTGTTACTTTGCTTTCTTAAAGGAACATCTAAAAATCAATTCACTTAGATTTTTGTTTTTAATCACTGAAACCATATTTGCTTCTTCTTTTTTAATGTTTTGCAGACGATAACTCACGCATTAGCCACTGCTCGGGAACATTTAGCAAGATCTCTCCTTAAGTGATGATAAGAGAAGGGAAAAAAAAGAGTTTTGAGCGATTATATTTCTATAGCTTTATCATTCATGTATTGTATTTTTTTACCATGGATGATGATGCCTAATATTATTTTATTCTTGCATATTTATAGTTGTAATCATTTGATTTATTTGAATATTAATGCAAAATAATAGGCTTAGTGATGGAGGAAATGGGTTCTGAGAATATATCGATTGGATGACCATAAAATCTATTATACATAGAGATAAACTTATGATTTTATGTTATAAGATACAAATTTAAGAAGTTATTTTATAATTAAAAAAAGTACATAAAATTATAAAACTAAAAAATTATTTAAAATATATAAAATTTAAAATTTTAGATATGCATTCACGGCTCAACACCTTTATTAAACACATTAAAATTGTTCAAAACACTCAGTACAACAACAACAAAAATTTTATAGTTTGTATAATAAAATTATATGTATATCAATTTCTTATAAATAATGATATATTTATATAAAAAAATCGATTTTTAAATTCGACGGATTAACAAATAACGAAAGAAAATATTTAAAATTGCTAATAAAAACCAACACACATAGTCAGCTCTATTTCTCTATTATCACCGTTTTGTATTCTGATATCGATTGACTGCCTATGTTCAGCTCCTATTATTTTTACTGCTGTTCTGTTCGACTGAAGAATCGATTTCGGTTTTACTTTTTTATTTACACTTTTCCAACAATGTATTCGGATCCCATCCCCTCTCCCCTTCTTATAGATATATTGAGGAATCTTATTTTTTAATCTTAATTATATCTAAGTCGGGCAGTAGAATACATTAATTTTAGAGAAAATAATCTCAGTGACCAAAAATCCCAGATAATATATGATTTTGACCAATTTTTTTTGGATTTGCGAAAATGACCAACAAAATCGCAATGCGATCTCTAATTCGCATTGTGATCTCTACTATCGCAAATTCGTGTTGTATTTCGCGTTGCGATTTTCCATTTCGCGTTGCGATAGTTGAAAATCGCGTTGCGATTTTCCTTTTCGCGTTGCGATTGTCTACAGTTGTCGTTGCGATTTTCCAAATTCGTTGCGATTTTCCAAATTCGCGCGAATACTATCTTTTTAGAGAAAATTCTTAAGAAGCAAAATCTTTTTTTTTAACTATCACAACGAATTTTCGCAACGAATTTGGAAAATCGCAACGACAACTGTAGACTATCGCAACTAATTTGGAAAATCGCAACGAATTTGGAAAATCGCAACGACAACTGTAGACCATCTCAACGCGAAATGGAAAATCGCAACGCGATTTTCAACTATCGCAACGCAAAATGGAAAATCGCAACGCGATTTTCAACTATCGCAACGCGAAATGCAACGCGAATTTGCGATAGTGGAGATCACAATGCGAATTAGAGATCGCATTGCGATTTTGTTGGTTATTTTCGCAAATCCAAAAAAAGTTAGTCAAAATCGTATATTATATGAGATTTTTGGTCACTGAGGTTATTTTCTCTTAATTTTAATTGAAACTAAGCACTGAATGTAAGCCTTAGATCACATTGCCATTGTTTCTTACATCAGCAACCTTAAGCATCAATCCAACAACATGATTTGGGACATTTACAATCCTTAATTGTGTTTATGGTTGGTGTGTTGGTAGTGTTCTTGTCCTTCTATTAGAAACATCCTCCTGGATTCCAAGGGGAACCGTGTTGCTGTTAAATATTATTCAGATGACCGGCTGACTAACAGTGCTAAGGAAGCTTTTGAGAAAGCTTTGTTTTCAAAGACTCAAAAGAGCAATGCTCACACTGAAGGTAAACAATTTCTAATCCTTTTCTTTCCCATTTCCGTAATCTAAGGGGAACTCGTAAACTTGAAGAATTGACAATTGGTAGGTTGGGTTGATACTTTTGATCAGTTTTCAGAAGGATATTACATTGAAATTGTTTTGCACTTTGTTTTACTTATTTTTCTTGGGAATACAAGAGATATTTATCATTCATTGACCTTCATTGTGGTGTTGTGTCAATTATGTATTATCATTTATAATGTTTGAGAATACGAACCAGTTTTTTTTCAACAAGAGTTCATTATAAGGATAATTCATTCAAGGGAGAAGAAGTTCATATAAGAGAGTTTGTTCAACTCCAACATGACCTTTGTGAAAGAATTGAGAGTTCATATAAGAGAGCTCATCTGATCGTTCTATATAAAAGAAAGCGATCAAGGGAGGAGAAGTTCATATAGGGGAGATTGTTTGGTCTCATTATGGCCTCTGTGGAGAGTAGAGAGTTCAGATAGGAGAGCGTGTTCAAACTCAGAATGACCTTTATGGAATAATGGAGAGTTCATATATAAGAGCTTATCTAATTTGTCCAAAGAGAAGAAGATGATCCAGGAAGGAGAATAGTTCATATAGGAGAGCTCACTCAAATTTCAAATTTGACATTTATGAGAGAGTGAAGAGTTCATAATGAGAAGAACATGGAGATTCGTTGGCAGTTCCGCCCAATACAATTGGTGTTTTATGTCATTTCTCTATTTCCGTTCTACACCAATGAGCAAAGAGGGGCAACATCTAAACACAACCAAATCCTACGAAAATAGCAGCAATCAACACAATTCTCGGATTCTCGAAAAACACCAAAATCAAGCTTGTTTTAAAGAATTCAATATCTAAATTATTTGTAATCGAAAAATTAATTTAATAAGATCATAATCATCATTAAAGCAACTTAGATTCATCAAGAATCATCAAAAATAAAATCAAGAAATTACCTCAAATAAATATTACGAAAATTATCATTTATTCTTGAAAAATCATAATCAAAACTAGTAATCTTCAAGATCACTTCACCATTGGATCTTTTAATCGTTAAAGCATAAAAGAGAGCCAAGAAAATAAGATTTACCTTGCTGAAATAATGGAGATGGAAACCTTAAAGAGGAGTATTGAGAAACTTGAAAACAATGAAGAAAGACTAAAGGAATTTGATTAAAATGAAGGTAGGTTGAAAAAGATATCAATTATGTATTTGCTCATCAATGGCCGTAAGAATTGAGAGTAACAATAGAGAGAATTTTAGTTGAGAAAATGAGAGAGTTGAAAGAGGATGTAGTTGGATGCTAAAATGAATTATGAAAGAAAGCAGTTAAAACCAACTTTAATTTAGTAATTAAAATTGATTAAAATAAAATAGAAATTAAGAGCTAAATTGATTGAAGTTCACGGCAAAGTAAGCAGAAAAATGGAGAGAAAAAGATCTTAGTAAAATTACTTTATAAATTTTGATATTTTTATCTTTTTATAAATTAGTCACTAAATTCTAATTTTGATAAAATTTAATTTAGTCACTTAATAAATCAAATTAAATAAGACAATATTTAATATTCTAAAATCATACTTTAATATTTTCAAAATATTTTCCACATTAAATTCTAAAAACAGCATTTTATCAGAAATCACATAAATTATTCGATTACCGACCCTAAACTACTAACCCGGATTTTAGAATGTTACATGTTTGTATCGGTTGGATGATCGTAAAATCTATTATACATAGAGATAAACTTATGGTTTTATGTTACAAGATACAAATCTAAGAAGTTATATTATAATTTAAGAGACAACAACAACAACAATAGTAGCAGCAATAGTAACAAGAACAACAAGAACAACAACAACAACAATAGTAGCAGCAATAGTAACAAGAACAACAACAACAACAACAGTAGCAGCAATAGTAACAAGAACAACAACAACAACAATAGTAACAAAATAGTAACAAGAACAACAACATCAACAACAATAGTAGCAACAATAGTAACAAGAACAACAACATCAATAACAATAGCATCAACAATAACAACAACCATACTAACTTTTCTTTATAAAATACGTTTTGTACAGATGGAATTTTATAATTCAATACTTTACTAATTTTGTTTTTATATTATTAGAAAATTAAATCTTTCACATAAACACAGTGATAAGATCATATAAGGATTTCATTTTTTTTTTGCAATTGTTAAATTGAACTGCTTTGTTTATACTCGATCAATAAAATATTATTTCTTAAAACTTATTATTTAAAATAATTATAATAAATAGAAATATGCCAAATTTAAAATTAATTATTAATTTAAAATTAAATTAATATTTCTCACTAAACTATTAATAAAAAGTTTAATTAAAAAATAAATATTCAAATTAGACTTAATTGAAAGATAAATGTTCAAATTATAATTTTTGTTTACTTTAGTTATCTAATTTTTTTCATTAAAGTAAATGTTTAACATTTATTTCATTATCATTTATGGTGTCTAAAGTTTCATTCTGCTACTATTTTAAGATAAATCTATCAACTACCGTTACAAAAACTGTCAACTAATAATTACTTGACACGAGACATTAATTTTTTAAAAATAAAAAATAAAAAATTCCTAATTTTCTAAAGAAACCTTAAATTTTGTAGTTTCTGAAAAAAGACTCAAATTCTTAAATCTTTATATCCCAAATCCTCCTAAATGGTTGGAGATCAGTGAACAGAGGTTTTAACGGTACAATTTTAGTTCGAACGACTGTGTAATCTCATCGATGATAACAACTGACAATAATTTGTGCGATAGGATTAATGACTAAATACAATAATTATTTTGTTTCAGACAATGACGTGCGTCGACAAGAGGACAACTGATTGATAGAAATCCGATGATATAAAAGGTGACTAATTCAGTGATGTCACATGAGATTGGCACCGATCGCATAAAAAATGGAAGGTACAGCTCAAGATTAAAACGGAGGTAAGTAATCCACGTGTCCTTGTCAGCTGCCGCGTGGAATCTCCTTTTAATTAAAATTCATCCTGATTAGATTATAAATAAATACAAAGATTTGTATTCTTTTCATCTACTTGTATTCATCTTTGTATGTTTATATTCACTTTTCAGATTTTTTCTCTCTCTTGTTTTGTGTTAAGTGTAGGTTCTCCATCTTCCAAAAGCTTCCCTAAACATGGATTTTATGTGTTGTATATCATTCATGGTTTTCCCATCTTTGTTCCACAGTTTGAGAAAAAACTAAAAAGACATGGGAAAGGACAAGGACAAGCATAAGCCTGGTCATGATGACAAGGGTCTCTTTTCACACCTTGCTCATGGTCTCGGTCAAGGTCAAGGTCATGGTCATGGTCACGGAGGATACCCCCCTCAAGGCAATCCACCAACCGGTTATCCTGGCGCACCTCATGGCGCATCCCATTCAGGTGAACTTCTAAGATTGTCTTCACGCTTTTAGTTGAGTTCGTTGCCATGCCATGTTTGTCAGATGCCAATAATTTAGCTTTCATTTTGTTCGAGTTTCTATTTATATTTGTGATCTGCGTCTACAGGGCACGGTGGCTTAGGGGGAATGATTGCCGGCGGTGCTTCAGCTGCAATGGGGGCTCACCACTTGGCCCACGGTTCTCATGGTGGCGGCCATGGGGGCTCACCACTTGGCCCACGGTTCTCATGGTGGCGGCCATTTTGCACATCACGGAAAGTTCAAACATCATGGTGGGAAATTCAAGCACGGGAAGTTTAAGCATGGAGGAGGCAAATTCAAGAAGTGGAAGTGATTTACTATGACTGACGTTATAATAATCGACTTCAGCTGGCTTTATAAATAATTACAGACCCTTTCTTTTATGTTATTTTGACATGTAATAACATATAGTATTTGTACTAGTACTTTTGATTCAGTCCATGCAAGTTTTGGAACTCAGTTATGTGTTATGAAACGCAACTACAAAGCTTTAACTTATCCATATGTATTTATGCTTTTAGTTAATTATACTCACACTGCTCCAATTATGATTGCTTATATCCGTTAAATACATATTAGTTTAAAATTTTAGGGAATCTGTTCCCACTTGTTTTCCAATTTTCCAATATATTTTTAGTCATTCTCACTGCAACAAATAATCCCTTTTTGACTTTATTTTTTTTCCTTCAAATTATTTAATTGCAACAAATAACAATTGTAAGTTTCTCTTTGCTTTGTTTTCTTCCTTCAAATTGTTTGGTTCTTTCAAATCATTTGGTTATAAGAGAATGATCAGCTTGCTTGTAATCAGTAAAACAAACTAATCTTATCTATATTGAAAACATCATTCGTAGAATACTGGTTTAGTTTTTCTCTTATAGTTACCAATTTGTTCTCTATATCTTCTCGGTCAGCAGAATCATTTTATATAAAATAACGAAATGACTTGGTATCATATCTTATTTTGAACTTCTCAAATTAACCTTGAGAAAAATTTGGGCAACTTTTAAAGTTATCGAGGATACAAATATTTCATCGTCTCTTTTATTTTCTTTAAAATTAGCTCTTTAAATATGTTTACACGTTCTTGATATTAAAGAAATCACTTGTAAAAAAAACTTATTTTTCATTTTTTGATTTTCTGCAAGGTATCAAAATAAAACTCAAATTAAATATTATATAATTTTAGAAAAATATAAAGTTTAAGTACCAAAACAGAACAAAAGTAAAGTTTAGATTGTCACACCCCAAATTTTTTAGAGATTTAACTATTATTAAAATTAATTATTTAAAGGATCAAAACGTTCTTCTTCTAAGATTTGAGGGTTATTGTTTGAATGTATAGTTAATCCAGAGGCTTGAACTCGATTTTGCCCATTTGTTTATCAGTTAAAATAAAATAAAGAAAATGATGTGTTGTTGAACATTGAACTTGCATAATTTAGACAACTATGCCTAGGCCTTAACCAACCGAGTTAGGATACTGTAGGTTTTAGGAAATAATAAAAATATCTATAGTAGTTGTGGGAATGGGATTAATTTGGTTCATATCACTTACCCACCCTAATCGGAGAAACCAAAATTAAAATTCCAAGCCCTTACATGAAACTAAACCCTTCACACACCGTACCATTGTCGATCAATTGCCTCCGACCAACGGTGGAGTGCACTGCCACCGCCGTTGGCCTTAGCAGCAATCCACAACCAATCCTCGAATAGCGAACCACCAATATTAACCGTCGTTGTGTCTGAAACACAAGGAGATTATTCGATTCTCTCTGTTGCCGATCTCCGCCACCGTCCATCGGTGACACTGTTCACACCAACTGAAGTGCAATCATCATCCGATCAAATCCTTGTAGAGCACCTTCGATGAACCGTCACCATTCATTGTAGAGAGTGTTCCAAAGCTCGTCGGGAAACCAAAGGTTTTCTTTGTGATTCGACGTGATTTTCATCTGCCTCAGTCGTCGGTTTGCTTCACCACCACTATAGCCAGACTCGCCATCGTTGTGCGATCAAAACCCAACCGACATGCCACCTTATCGTCGCCATTTTCACCGATCGCCGATTTGGGTAAGTTTCGGTCATATTTCAATTGTTTGTTGAAGTTTCTGGTTGATTTTTTAGATTAATTTTAGTTGTAAATGATGTTTGGTTACCTTGTGAGTAATCGGCCGCCATCTCCGACCTCCTCCTCCTCGTCACGCACCGCCGCATATCGACTGTGCGCGTGGGGCTCCTCCCCGGACATGAAACCTCCTAGAACTGGTCTGAGTCAACTTGAACCGACCTGAGTCAACATAAACCAGTCTAAACCGTTGACTTTGACTCGAACCTTTGACTTTGACATGCCCGTTGACTGTTGACATTGACTTTGACCAAACTTGACCGTTGACTTAGACCAAAAAGTCAAAATTTTCGATAAGTCATATTTTATGTTTTTCGACGTTCTAAGTCTGAATCAGAAGTTCTTTTTCCAAATTCTAACCCGAAAGCCTCCGAATTGACCTTTAGAATATGAACATGCATATTTACTTAAGAGATTTAATTAAGTGAAATTAATTTAAGATCGATAACTGACTGAAATTTTTAATTAAGGTACGTGTGATTCTCCCGATCTGTCGCACACGAGAGCCCGTGATTATTCGTATGGTTCTGTAAACCTGTTTAATACACCGTTTAGAATTTTGCTCTGTAGTAATTTTGTTTTGTAATGACCTAGGTTCTCGTACAATTGAAGAACACAGTGAAACTGGTGCTCGATAGATCTACCAGACTGATTCGTTTTGCAAGGTGTGTTCCTTGTGTACTATATATATATATATATGTTTTGAATACATGTTTGAAATATCATGTGCACATGACCGTTTTATCTGATTTGCATTATGGCTAGTTGATCTGATTTGACTTCGTATGATTTATCGGTTTCAAGCTTGATTTTCTGATTTACTGAAGTTTTAAGCATGCTTGTCTGATTCATGTTCTCTGGTTATTGTTTGAACTAAATTGATATATGTATGAGCTATGTTTTCCCTACTACTGTTATCTATTGTTTGAAAACTATTTTCTTCGGGGTACTCTGGGATATGAGATAAAGTCTCTGTAGGTTCAGCTCCGATCAAGCTAGTAATTTCTCATGCAGGTTCAACTCTGATCAAGCTAGTAATTCTTTATGGACCTAAACCGACCCTTGGGTTGGATCCTAGGCCTAGTGGTAAGACCTTATGGACCATAAGGTACTCTTTTAGGGTGGCTCATTTGCTTTGTGCACTGGGTAAATCCTTATAGGCCTAAGGGTGCGTTTGGTTCACGGAATGTAAGATTACCAGTGGGAATAAAAGATTACGAGGGAATAGGATTATTGGGAATGTTGTATTTTGTGTTTGATTGGTTTAGCAGGAATGTAAGATTACCATGTTTGGTTAAAGGAATAAAATATTATTGGAATATATATTTGACCAAGTTGTCCTTATTATATATTGTTTTTTAACAAGATGAATTCTACTATAATATTACTATAAGATATTTATATGTTTTTTTAAAATAATTAAATTCATAAAATTTATATAATTTTTTTTACAAAATTGAAAATATAAAAAGGTTTAATGAAAGGATAAAATTTTATTTTAACCCCTGAACTTTATATAAAATTTTAATTATAGACTTTTTTGTAAATCTAAAATAGTTTAAGGATAAATTTGTAATTTAACCTTCGTAGAATTTTTATTATTTAATGACAGAAGAATGATATTTTTGAAAAAAAAATTAAGGGCATTTAGTCCAAAACGCTGCTAATCCAACAATATCTAAGGAAGGGGGTAATGACATTTCTAATAATATACCCCAAAAAATCCACTGTTAGTAATAAAACATTATCGAAAATGATATTACCGGTCAACCAAACAGGAGAATGTGGATTTCATTCCCCCGGTAATCCCACATTTCCCAAACCAAACAGCCCATAAGAACATACCTCTCAGGTAGGCACCTACGCTTCGACTAGGGTAAGACCTTATGGCCCAAGGTGCTCACTTAGGTTAGCTCCTACGCCCTTAGGTTGGCTCCTACTCCCTTAAGTTGACTCCTACGCCCTTTAGGCCTAAGGTAAGTCTGTATAGATGCAGTTACAACTGAAAGGTTATTCTGCATTTTAACTAGAACTCTACTGTCGTTTTCGTGACTTTGGTAATGAATCTATTTTGAAACTTAATTGTATGTTTTTATTTTACACTGTTGGAACACACTGAACTCCCTAACTCACTTTTTCAAACTTTTCCCCCTTTCAGATACTTTTGAATAGGCACCCTAGACTTGACACTTTGAGGATCGACACATTCGTATAATATATTTTGTTATAATGTTCTTATCTTCCAAATACCTTCGTCTTCAATGATGTGTTCATATTTTGAAATACTTGTTTTACGACTTACACTACTTTTGCTATTGATGTCATAAATACATCGATATTGATTTGTGAAAAATTTTATTTTTACTCAGTCATTCATGGTTTTATATATTAGTCAGATTACATCTTATATTAATAACTATGTTTTAAAGGTGTTTATTCATAATATGGTTTTAAAATATCTAAAAAATGTTTTGGAAATTTATGTTATAATCAGCTAGATCTAGTCGTAGCAATACTCTTCTAACTCACCAAATATCAACCAAAATGGGTAAAACATAAAGGAGAAAAGCACAGCGCAGGGCATTCATTCATAGGGTAAAATTTTCTAAAATAAATAGCACGCCACCTCCTTCAGCTCCATTTTTTGTTGATCAGAACAAGTCCCATCAGAAATACCCAACATGGATGTCTTCGTTTTCATCTTATCATAATCAGCAACTGCAATGAACAAAAGTTCAGCACCCACCACGTCAACATTCTTACAATCCATAACCAAATATAACAGAAAACAATTATTTCTCACATGTCAATAAATGAATGTCTCAGTCATCTAGGTAATAATATGACCCAGCAGACTTTTGCTCTCGATCCTTAGTTGAGTCCAATTTGTTGATCCTGGGTCGGTAATTGGTTGGGTCCCGCCTAAAAGTGATGTCCAAATGCTGTAGAGTGCAGCAATGTCAAACAGTGAGCATCACCAGAAATTTCAAATGAATACCACAAAGGGAATTATAAACTCACAGATAAGAAGAGGTTCATGCCAGTCAACAAGGACTGAGGAGAATTTGCAATACAATCCACTGACGGTTTCCCTTCATACACAATAACTCGGTCTGCAAGATATGTTGCCATTATAAAATCGTGCTCAACCACAAATGCAGTT